GGGACAGCCCCGGGACAGCCTCCAGACAGACCCTAGGACAGACCTGGCACAGTCCCTGGGACGGCCCCAGGACAGCCCCTGGACAGACCCGGCACAGCCCTCGGGACACCCCCAGCACAACCCCGGGACAGCCCCTGGGGCACGAGTGACCCCAGCACACCCCCCGGACAGGTGTGACCCCGGGACACCCCCTAGACACCCCCAGGACACTCCTGGAGTAGGTGTGACCCCAGACAGCCCTCTGACAGCTGCCAGGACAGGTGTGTCCTCACCTGCACAAACAGGGACTGTGTCACTCCAGACACCCCCCTGGGGCAGGTGGGAGCTCACCTGCACACACAGGGGCTGTAGGAGCTCACCTGGGGCAGGTGGGAGTTCACCTGCACACACAGGGGCTGGGGGTGCTCACCTGGGGCAGGTGGGAGCTCACCTGGATCTGCTCCACGTCCCGCAGCAGCTCCTGCACCTCGTGCTGCAGCCGCTGGAATCGCTGCTGCGGCGTCTCCTTGGCCCCCAGACCCTCGCCCAGCTGTGGGGAAAGGGGGGCGGGGGGCTCAGGGGGGCCCTGGGGACTCAGGAGGGCTCAGGGGGGGCTCGTGGTGGGTTAGGGGGTTCACAGTGGGTCAGGGGGCTCACGGTGGTTTAGGGGATCTCAGGTGGGCTCACAGGGGGCTCACGGTGGGTTAGGGGGTCTCAGGTGGGCTCACAGGGGCTCAGGGGGCTCACGGTGGGTTAGGGGGTCCCAGGTGGGCTCACAGGAGGTCAGGGGGCTCACAGGGTCTCACAGGTTCATGGTGGGGGGCTGGTGTGCCCCCCCACTCACCACCTCATACTCCCCGGCCTCGTATCCCGTCGTCCTCGTCCGGCCGATGCGGTCGGAGAAATCTGGGGGAGGCAGAGCCAGGGGTGACCCCCACCCTGGGGGGGGCTGAGCCCTCCGGGGGTCCCCGTGGTGGTGCACCTCCCCCCCAGACTGCACAGTCCCCCCCTCAGGGGTTACCCCACTCCCTGCCCTCGGTGCTCGCGATGGAACTTCTCGTAGCCGAGTCGGGGTTGGGGATGAGGGGCAGCCCCCCGGGGGTCCCCCACCCCTCCTGACCTCCCCCGGGGGTTCCCCTCTGGCCCCCCGAGCCCCCCCCTCTCACCCACGCCCTCGGTGCCCAGACGTTTGTCACGGAACTTCTCGTAGGCAGCGTTGGGGTTGATGATCAGGTGCTCCACACTCGTGCTGCTCAGCTCCTCCTGCACACAGAGCCACCTCAGGGCACAGGGACACGGGGGTGCTCAGAGC